GGGGGGTACCCATCAATGAGAAGCGGTGGGGAAGTGTTCATTCCACCACCTATTTTCATCGCCATCCCGGCCATGTCCTTCATCGACCCTGAAATAGCCGCCGGAGGCTGAGGTTGCACACCGCAGTAGGGGATTCATGTAACGGAGTGCCTTCGATTTCTACCAAAATGGCGAAAAGTGGGAAGCCACCGCGAAGGAAAGAGAAAGCGGCTACACTCTAAAATTCGCCAGAATACGCCCTCTTGCTCACCCCCTTATTTGTCCGACTGAACACCAAGAGAGGGCCAACAATGATGTTCGTAGGTCTTTCTTCTTCAGTGTGAAGACAGCAACAAGAACAACACCAACACCATCATCAACAACGACACCGTCAATAGCACCGACAACAAATCAAAAACACCAAGCATGGGCTACGAAAGACTTGGAGCACGCGAGCTCCCGCAGCTTTTCTGCTTTCGTCTATGTTCACCATCAGAGTAAGGGTAGCCGGGTAGGCTATCGCCGACACCAAGAAACTCCTCAGCTGAGCCAAGAAGTTCTCGTTCGTCATCCGCACCAACACCTGGCGACAAACAACGCGGCAGACCAAACGGACGGACAAGACACGACAACAGGGACAGTGCAAGAAACAGACAAAGGAGATGAAAGGAACACAACAGAAACCTTGTGTGTCACGACGGGTGACACCCATCTCCGTTGAAGAGAAAGACAAAAGCCCAGTAGAAACTGACATTTTTTTTTAAATGACGGGTGAAATTCATCCCCTTGACCTCGGCTAGGGTGAAAGACGGCGTTACAGACATATTCGACTTCGGTTCTCGGGAGGAAAACGTTGGCACCCACCTCCTCGAGCCCTTGCTCGGCCGGCCTGTTCGCCCAGGGAGGGAGAAGGTCCGGCTTGAGGGCGCGCCCGATCTCTCGTCCTAGGCAGCTCACCACGCCCACCGCCATCGAACCCGCTCCCCTTGTCGAACGAAACACACAGCCACGCAATCAAACAAGAGGTTCGATGTGATGTGGACGAGGGGGGGGGTGTAGTCTATGGGGCCCTTGTCTTTCCCGAAGGCGGAGGGGTCGCGGG